GCAGAAAGTATATATTTGTGAAAAACTTCATAAAATCCAACCAGAATGATGAATTACCAGAGAAGCAATCTTTTTTTTTTCTGCTCAAATATAGAAACTTTATGTAACACCACATAACAGATACATTCCAAATACAGTTGGCAAATATACTTTGTTGGTTTAGGGAAGGAAAGAAACAGTGGAAGGAGAAAAATGGAAATTATCAAACAGACGAAACAGCAAATTAATAAATAAATAAATTAATGAATTAATAAATGAATAAATAAATGAATAGACGAACGAATGAATGAATGAGTGAATAAATGAATGGATGAATAAACAAAAACAAATAGCAACAGATATAAATGTACTGCAGCTGAGAAGAATTCGAAAGACTTGTGGGGTTTTTTTCCTGCTCCTTATGTTTGTTTATTTCTTTCGTTTTTTTTTCCCTCTCTTCCAATTAAAAAAATTCGAAAACGCATTACATAAATAAATATATGAGATGAAAGCTCAAACAAAAAAAAAAAAAAAATAGACATCAAATTTTTGAGATTACAGGTGAGCAATAATATGAACAACTTCACAACACAAATATCCAGATAATTTCAGGAATGCAAAAAAAAAAAAAAAAAACTGACTGCCCAAATTATCCCTGGTAGGTTTTCGTTTGTGAATACAACACGTCATTTAGCCGTAAATTGTTGGCGCAATTCAAAAATATGTTATTCAATCTTAATATCACTTTTTTTTTTCTTTTTTTTACTTCAGTTCGTTTCTTTTGTCGAAAAAAGAAAGAAGAATGGCAATGGATACTGTAAACACTCCAAACTTTTTATCTCTTTCAATTAAATAATACCGGTACAAAAAAAAAATCCGTCAGAACTAAATGAACTTCACCACTCACTCATTTGCACACATATACGTACATACAAAAACACTCTCACACACAGATACAGACACAAACACAGACATTTACTCAGACATAAACACATGCAGAATCTAAACTCAAATGCACTGGAAAAAAAACATTTAATAGACCGATACACACTCATTCATCCATTGAAACACACAGACACAGACTCAAACATACTCCCTGTACACTCACATGAAGAACGCATGAAACCCAAAATTGTTTTGCCACTTTTGTGGGCATTCAAGTGAAAACATACAGAATATTACCTATAAGAAATGCGCAAAAAAAAAAAACTGAAGAAAGAAAGGTTACCATTAGACGATCCATAGAAGCGAAAAAACGTACAAATATAACAAAGAAAAAAAAAACAACCACATTTTAGGCAGATTTTACATTGAACACATTTAATATAATACGCTTTGGTCGATACTACCGCCGTAGCGAATGGAGAACAGAAACTTGGTGGTTAACATCATAATGGTGTTGATAACAACAGAAAACAGCTATACAAATGTTGGCGGTGGTCCTGAGGAGCAACAAGATGGTAAATATGACGATTTTTTGTCCGGTAACGAAACACCGTCAACATGGAAAGCTGAACTGAGCATATCACTTTCTTCGGAATCCGAATGCATATTGGACACCAATAGCCGATCTCTCATGCCGGCAACCAAATTTTGGAACGCATCCTCAACGTTGATCCCGGTTTTTGCACTAACCTACAACAGTAATCTAAGTGTAAGCAGACAGACTCTCATGAATATCTGTAGAAGGAAAGAGTGGCTATTTTAATGCTTTTTTACTAACAGCGGCAAAGAAAAAAAAACAAGTCAATTTCAGAGATCGGTTGTTCTTTTTTTTCTTTTTGTTCTCAAAATGAAATTATCTTCTCTACAGCTATAGAACATTTTATTGATATCCATCTCTACAGCTATAGAACATTTTATTGATATCCAGTTAGCTGATTATCCTGTTTTATCTTTAACAATTTTCTTCTAAAGCAGACCGATTATTTCATAAGTTAACACAACAAAAGCATCATTAGGCATCGGCTGCACAAATGGCAATGGCAACATCAAAATTAGTTTGAGTTTAGCGTTGGATAGATAAAAAAAGCTAACAGGCTGAGATAATGGCACAAGCAAAAAAGTTGAGAAAGGAAAACGTCATTGTAATGTTTCCAATTAAAAGCAACAGATGTTTGAAAATCTAGTAAACAAACTACAAGGTTATTATATCTGTGGACTGCCTTCAAAAGTTGCCAAAATTTGTTTCAGCTGAATTATATAAACCAAAAAAAAAGACGAGGTAAACAGCTAACCTCGTAGAGTGAGACACCAAGTTGACTAGCCAACCTTTCGGCACGATCGAAATCCACCTTTCTCTGGTCTTCCAGATCGGCCTTGTTGCCAACCAATATCAAAATTGCATTAGATGGTGCATGGTTTCCGATTTCCTAAAACAAAAAAAAAAGGTGTGCAATTTCGAGAAAAAAACAACTTCCTACTGCAAACTCCAGCACTAAACTTACAAATAAACGTCATTATATCAAGCAAAACAAGAAAAAACAGTTAAGAAAAACCTCAAGATCAAAGATAAACTGTTTAGTCGTTCTTTCATCTACAGCTAATCTATCCTTTTCGACTTATAAACCAATCGTATTCTTTTTCGCTAAAAATTCCTTTTTTTTTTTCTCCTAATCTACCAATCATCGTACCTTAAGCCAATAATTTTGTAGATTTTCAAATGACCGTTCGTCAGTCAAATCATAGACACACATAACACCATGCGCTGAATGATAATAAGAATTATAGATAGTTCGATACCTTTCCATACCTTAAAAAAATTTATCAATTGTACACAACAGTGATATCAAATTTGCTTATTTTTTTCTTCATCTTGTCAAGTTTTTTTTTTTGAAAATTAACTGTAACTTTTTTTCCGTTTGTTTCAGTATCACTTTCACTTTCAGTTCTTCTTTTCCTACAATTTGTAATGCAGTAAGAAATTATTGTAAATAGAAGATCAAAATCTCTGCTTTAACCAGGCTAAAAGAAAAAAAAGAA